GCATTGGGCAGAAGCCCCTGAAGGCAGGGACCTGGTCTGGCTCTGAGCACAGTTCCCAGAACACAAAGGACGATCAAGGAGTACGCCTGAGAGCTGCTGCTTCGGGTGAGGCCTGTGGTCAGCCCCTCCGCCTCTTTCTGAGCCCCTCCTTTCTTATGCTCTCTCCTTCCCGCGTCTCCTCAGCAGCAGCTGCAGGAGGATGTAGGTTTGGAAAACTGGAATGAAGTCACACTAGGGAGTTGGACACCTAGTTGGTTACACGAGCAGCGCGGGCTGGCTGTTACTCCTTCCTGCCAGCCCTGCTTGCAGAAGGATATATGTTCAGGAAACTTAGCCAGAAAGAAATCCAGTGAAAATGAGCTATGAAACTTGGACATCCTGGAGAAATAATATTTACAGAGGAAACTCTTGAGACGAACTCTCACCAGCGCAACAACCCCGGTGTTGGGGCTCACGGCCGAGGACTGAGTCCCGTGCCAATGAGCTCTGGCTCATGTTTACCTCCGTGAGGCCTTGACGCAGTTGAGTTGGGACTTCACAGACGGCAAATTCAACTCTACCTATCCCCATGGCAAGACGAATGGGGATTATTTAAGGCATAGAACAGAAATGAACTAGGAAATGAAAAGCTTCATAAAAATCTTCCTTGGTGATAATGATGCGTCCACGTAGGTTCATCAGCTATAACAGACGTACCACTCTGGTGGGGGATGCTGATAATGGGGGAGGCTATCTATGCATGCCTGGGGGAAGGGGTATACGGGAAATTTCTGCGCCTGCCCCTCAGTTTTGCTGCGAACCTACACTGCTCTAAAAAATAAAATCTATTTAAAAAATCTTCCTTGATTACCTAAAAGGACTTGCCCTTTGGGATTTCTGAAGTACCTATAATGTGTTTGACTAAATACCCAGATATATGGGTGGTATATATGGGTGGTAGGTGGAAAAAAGTCCCAGGCAACTAACATTGTTCCATTCTATGGCTACAAATGGGATCCTAGATGACCATCCGCCATCTTGTACATGTCTGACCTTGAATACAAGGGGGTCCAAGAAGGAGAGCGAGTATGGCTTGATTTGGACCAGTGTTTCCCATCACTGGAGCCCAAGGTGCTGTACGAAAGGGAGGAAAAGGCAAGATACTTGGAATACTCATACCTGGGCTCTGGTCATGGTTTTGCCCCTGATCATAAGTATAATGTTGGGTAAAACATGCTCTTACCAAGCTTCAGTCTCCTTACCTGTAGGACAGAGCCAGTGCCACCTTCATCCAGGGAATGCTGTGAGGAGCGATGAGGTCACCTAAGCACAATGGAAATGATAGTAATAGTACCAGGCACTTACCAGGCGTTAAATCTTTTAACCCTCACAACTCCATGAAGCAGGTACTATCATCGTAGATAAGGAAACAGAGGTAAATCACTTGCCCAATGATCACACCACTAATACACAGCCAAGCCAGAATGTGAATTCATGCAGTTTGATTCTGGAGCCCATACTCTTTAATTTTACACTATTTACACCAAGGTAGAAACTAGCACGATGCTTGGCACATTGTAGGTGATCAATAAATGGTTATCCCTTTCCTTTGGTCTCTCTTAAAAATACAGGATTATGCTGAGAAATTGATAGAAAAATGTATGTGAAAGTTCACAGAAAACCATAAAATCCAATGAAAATAAAGAGCATTAAGAAAAAGCAGCTTTATTGAGATATTATTGACATAGCGTACAATTCACTCTTTTTAAATATAGAACTCAGTGGCTTTTCTTATATTCAGAGATTTGTACGACCATCTCTACAGTTAATTTTAGAATATTTTCATCACCCCAAAAAGAAACCATATACCTCTTAACCACGATTCCCCGTGCTCTCTCCCCGACTTCCCTCCTCAGACCCTGGCTACCACTAATCTACTTCCTGTCTCTATGGGTTTGCCTATTCTGGACATTTCATTTAATGGAATCATATATATCGTCCTTTGTGACTGGCTTCTTTCACTTAGCATGTTTTCAAGGTTCATTCATGTTGTAGTATGGATCTGTATTTTGTTCCTTTTCATTGCTGAATAATATTCTATTGTATATAGCATTGTTATTAAATGTATTTACTTCCTTCATAGACTGTTAGAGCTGAAAAAACTTTAGAGGTTGAATCCAAACCCCTCCCATTTTACTGATAAGGAGACTGTGGCCTAGAGGTTAAATAGCTTGGCCAAGGTTACCCGCTGGTTGGTGACAGAGACCAGCCTTGGGCCTTACAACTCTCCACTTGGTCCCCTCTGACTTCACTCCACAAAGCATTATGGAAACATAATTAAAAGTGCACAGCTTCTTGATGATGGACAGTAGATCACCACTGCAAATATTAGCCTAACATCATTCCTTCAACAAACATACGTTGGCCGTCCCCAGAGGGCAAGGCACTGTGTGAGGTGCTGGAGACCCAGTGGGGAAAGGACAGACAAGATCCCTGCCCTTTCTCCCAAGTGTACATTCTCCTGGGGAGGCAGAAAAATGAGTGAACTCCCAAATGATAAAAATAATTGTACTCTATATTAGGTGTCATGAAGGACAAAGAACCAAGAAAGACGATGATACAGGGAATAGTGTGGCAATGGCAGGGGTAGCGGGGTGTCATAGTACAGAGTTTTGTAGGGTGCGTGGTGGGAAAGGCCTCTCTGAGGAGGGGGTGTTTAGGCTGAGGCCTGGAAAAGAAGGACCAACTTTGGGAACATTAGTGGGAAGAAGGTACCAGACGAAGGGTAGAGCATGTGCAAAGATCCTGAGGTAGGAAAGAGCTCGGTGCATTGAAGGAGTCAAATGAGTGGATCAGAGCAACTGAGTGAGCAAGTAGTGTGATTTGGGGCTTACATGGGGAGGGCCCAGATCACGATAAGGGTCTTTTGGCCTATTCTCTCAAGACTACGCTCTCAGAGCTAAACGAAGTTAGGAGGACCTGTGGGAAAGAAGATTGGTGGCTTCCAATTTCCTTCCTGTGAATTAAATAAACTCCACTTACCACAGGAAGCTAGAGGAGGCCTTGAGTCTCTGTAGCAAAGACTTCCAAGGACAAGAGAACTGCATCTTCAATAAGGGTGATATAACTATGTATCACCCTGGGGATGAATCAGAAGATAAGGAAAACAGGGAAATGAGAAAATACAGACATGTTAATAAGGAAGTGGCTAAATGGTTATGGTATAGCCACATAATGGAACACAATTCAACTGGCAAAAAGAACGGAGGTTAACTCTTTCAGTACTGAAGTGGAAAGATCTCAAGCAAAAAAAAACACAAGGTGCAGAAGTGCGTGTATAGGATTTTACCATTTGTGTAAAAAAAAGCAGGAGAGATAACATGTTATTTGCTCATATATGCAGGAAATCTCTCTAAAAGGATCTACATAAAATACAGCTGGGAGGGATTTACTTGTTTGTCTCTATCTCCCCCAGGAGAACGTACTCTGGAAGGAAGGGCAAGGTTCTCATCTGTCCTGTTTACCTCTGTGTCCCCATCAGTTGTGAGTGGGAGGCTGAAAGGGGAGGAGTGGGAGACAGACTTTTCACTGTCTCCTCTTATTGTTTCCAAGTTTGAAACATGTGAATGTATTTCCTATCTAAAGAAATTAAATAAAAAGTGAAAACAAAGTAAAAGCAACAAGGGGTCTACGTGTACCAGCCGAAGCCCTGTGTTCCTTCCAGTCCACCCAGTTCCTCAGCATCTGACTAAGCTGACCCTTAGGGAGGTCAGCTCATCCTCCCAGAGAACTACTGGGTGCTCACTGGCCCCTGGTCTAGATTTCACTCCTAGTCTTAACGATGGTTGTGACAGCCAGGTGATCAAAGAAATTGCCCAGAAGAGTCCAGCATTAATTTTGATTCCCAAATGTAAACCATCAAAACATCTCCCTCCAGAGCCACCCTGGGGAGAATGAACAAATGAATAATTCGCATGGGTATGGGGCTCCAATTAGGTATCCTGCAGTGGACACGGCACCATGGGAGTATCAGCCAGTGTAAAAGGGGAGGGTGTAACTCACGGTGACTCACATCCTTGCCCTCAACCTCCAGGTTTCTCAACCTTGGCACTAGTGACTTTGGGCAGAATAATTGCTTGTTGTGAAGGGCTGCCCCGTGTATTGTAGGATGTTTAGCAGCATCCCTGGCCTCTACTCACTAGATGCCAGTAGCACCACCCCTCTCCAGGGACAAACAAAAATGTCTCTAGACATGGCCAAATGTCACCTGAAGAACAAAATCACTCCCAGGTGAGAACCACTGTTCCCATCCCTGCATCTCCAGATAACGGCTTCGTTTTCCCCATCAGAAGCTGCAGCGTTCTCCTCTGCCTGTACCCTAGTTGGGTTGCCGCAGAGGGTGGAGGTTGACTGAACTTCACTGTGGGTGAGTTCTCTGAGTTTCAGATGTGCCAACCAATCCAACTTTCTGGGAATCCCTTCTGTCTGGGAAAATCACACTATCAGATTTTTAAAAATAACAATCTGTCGAGGAGAAGTTCCCACGCCTAGAAGGCCTGGGCTGTAAAAAAAACACCCCCAAAGCAGGTCGATAAGTGAAGCAGAGCACACTCAGGCTGCCCAGTTGCCCACTCTGGGGCACCCCAAGATTGCTGGGATAAGAGAGCCCAGGGGAGTGAGTGCCATTTCCTCCCATGGTGATCTCCCTTCAGGTGACAGAAAAGAGATAGCCTGTGAGGTGCGGTGAAGTCCATGCGGGGTCATTTTGTAACAAACGGGGACAGGTGGGCGCGCCCGCCATCAACTCTCCTCTCAGGAACATAATTCCCAACGGACAGCTTTCTTTGGAGGGCAAAGAAAAAGGAACTGTATTTTTATGTTTTGATTAATTTCAGGCTCATCCTTGAGGGCTCTGCGAAATGAATGAGCAGAATTTTCCGTGGCTAACTGTCCTGGCTGCCAGGCCCTATCGGCAAAAGCTTAGTGTTTATTTACTTTTGCTCGTGTTATTTTTATTTCAGTTCAGCTGCAGCTCAGTGCGGAAAGCGTGGGGGAGGTGTATATAAAGAGCACCGAGACTGGCCAGTACTTGGCCATGGACACCAACGGGCTTTTGTACGGCTCAGTAAGTATGAGGCTGACATGCTTCCAGATGGGGCCAAGGTTTGAGGTTTCCAGAAATCTTGTTACGTTGAGTGATGCAAACTATAAACCAACAATTAGTCTCTGTTTGTTATTTTTTCCAGCAGGATTCCCACCCTCTCCCCTGCCTTATTTTAGGCACAAACATAAAAGAGTTTCTTGCGGTATTCTCTCAAAATACTCAAACGTATTATCACATAGACACAGAGGAGACATTGATTGAAATTTTAGTAACTCATCAGTCACTCCTTTCAGGATACTTAGTCCCATTTCATTCATTCATTCCAAAAATGTTTCTTGAGCATCACTAAGTGCTATAGGTGTGTCTCTTATGCTTTTTTACAGGAATTGCAGAGTCCAGACTCGGGTTGTTGATATGTCATGCATAAAACTTTGAAAACAGCCGTTTTACTCTGGAAAGGTCATGTAAAAGGATAAAAAGTTCAATAACTTCATTCAACAAACATTGATCAAATGCCTCCTGTGTCTAAGTACTGTTAGGTACTGAAGGGATATGAAGACAAATGAGTCACATCCCTGCCCTCGAGAAGCACAGTCTAAGAGCTTATGCAGCAGCTAAAATCCTCTACATCTCCTGCTCCATCCCTCTCCTAGTTATGCTTTATATATGTTTGACTCAGTAGATATCGGCCTTTGCAAGAAAAGAATAGAAATAGAAAAGCAATCTAATTTTGCCCCTATTGGTATCTCTCGTAAAAGATTTGACTGGAAAGAGAGCTGAAGCCAATGGCCCTGGGTTTTGAAATTATTTCTGGATTTCAATGATCCCTTCTCTGTATCCTAACAACTGATAATTAAGACTTGGCGGTAATTCACAGCCCAAGCCAAACCCCTTTCTTCCCTTTTGCGAAGATATCTACAAAAAGCAGCCAGTAGGGGGATTTTAGTCTGGGGTTCCCTTTAACCTATATCAAACAGCCAAGCGACAGTGGGCACAGGAAACCCTCTCCTGAAGCTGTAATCTCAGCCGGGTTCAGGATGTGAACAGAGTTCAGTTTTTCATGCTGCCCACTAGTGGTCAGGAGACGAGATCATCAGAGTACTCGGTAGCCTTTAGCAGGTTGTTTGCTGAAATACTGGAATCAACCAGGTCAATTTTAAAGGGTTTGGAGCTAGGCAGTGACGGCTACATAGGGCGCAGATTTTTTTTTTTAAAGGTGGTTCTTCCAATTGATAATAAAATCAGTCGACCAATCAATCATTCGATCTCAGACTCATCACTGAATCTCATGCCTCTGCCACTTTGACAAGTTACTTGTCTACTCTGAGCCTTGTCTAAAATGAGAATAGTAACAGAGAGTAAGTACCTCGTACAGGGCTCGGAGGAGTCAGAGAGATAAGGCACAGAGCTCGCCTGCCAGCATGGCTGGCACATGGGAGGTGCCCCAGCAATGGTAGCTAAAAGACAAATAATCAGTTTATAAACCCCTTCCCCTCTTTATTTCTTAGGAAATATGTTACAGTTTTATGGGTTTTCCCACATAAATCAGTTTTGAGGTTTATTATAACCTTCTCTTATTTACATAAAAATATTGAGGGAGAATCCCCCCAAATCCAATTTGTCTAGGCTCCAGACATCCCTTCCCCCGCCCTAGTCCTGGCCGTCACTGTGGTTCCCCTGAAATACTCAGAACGTGATCTTAACATATTATACCTAATAATTTTTATATTTCCCCATTGGTAAAGGGAAGTTCTAAAACATCTCAGAGCTCTCCTCTTGTTCTTAACCAATTTTAGGTATTAATTTATCCTGATTCAAATTGTGTGTATGTGTATGAAAAGAATATATTTATTAAAAAAAAATAAGTTTGACAGGCTATATACCAAATATTAATATATTTGTCTCTGGGGGTAGTCAGTGGCTGATTTTATAATATGTGAATGCCTTCCTTGTGTTTTCCAAATTTTCTCCAGTGGGTATATGTCAACTATGTAATTGGGGAAAAAAGCATGCTAAATATAAAAACGAAGACAATGAAAACAATAGGCATGAATCAACTGTAAATCCTCGTGCCCCGGGCATTGCTCCAAGTGCACAGCAAGTGCTGACACATCCTGGTTGAGGGACGGACGGAGGGAGCACCTCCGATTTGGTCTGCTGACTCAGCCTATGACTCAGCCATTCTGTGCGTGTCAACTGCTCTAGTGTAACAGAGACATCAGGTGGGGGACGTGGCCGTCCTCAGCTTCGTCACAGAACACAGGCCTGACGCCCATTGAGGGGTGTCACGGGGTGAGCCTTCCCTGCAGGGGAGTGGGAAACCCACGCAGGTCCAAAACTGCCTACCTCCCTCCAGTCCTGATAATGGGCATCAAACAGTAACGTCTCGACTGAGTTCCTCCAGAGGCAGCAGAGTCACCCAATTAAATATTATGTCTATTCCCATCTTGTTCTAAAATGATCCAAAATGTCTCACCCAGTTGTCACTGCACTAGACTACAAATGAATAAGAAGCAGGATACTTCCTGTTACATAGTGTCTTACTAATCAAAGATAACTTTATTGCGTGCTTTATATGATCTCAAGAATCAAATTAAATTCACCACCTAGCTGGGGAACAGCTATTATTTGCAAGGCTCATGTCTAGGGGGCAGACACAAGGCTGACAAGATTCCATCTCTTCCCTCAGTAGGGCTTACAGTCTAATGGGATGAACATACCCACAAATAGGGAACAATGAACAATAGGATTGGAGACTACCAGAAAGGTGATCACCAACCACTGTGAGTGAAGAGATAATATAAAGATCACAACTTGGAATTGGAGCAAAGTCAATATACAGCAAGAGTGTTTTTCAATATACCTAACTGTTTTATATCCAGATATAATAAACGTATTCTAAAATCTTGACAAATAGAAAGTTCAAATAATTGGGGTTCCACCCACTCTCCAACAGATGAATTCCAAGTAAAAGAGTAGTGGTTGGTAGATATTTTTAAAGTAACTGCACTATTTAACATATTGTAGCTATCTTTCCAGCTTAATGAATTTACAGCTGCATTGGATTCCACTGAATGGATGTACTGCTAACCACTTAACCAACTGCCTTTCCATGGATACTTAGGTTGCTTCTAATTTGTTACCATTATATCCAACGCTTCAAAGACTATCCTTGAAAATACAGTTTTATACTTGCTCAACTATCTCCTATGGGTCAATTCCTACAAATGAAATTGCTGGGTCAAAGGTAATGCATATTTAAAATTTTGATACATATTGCCAAACTACCTTTAGAAAGTTTCCACCAATTTATCTTATCAACAGTGAATATAAGTGCCCATTTCCCATACTCTCACCAATACTAAGACTTGTAAATCTTTTTGCTTTTTGCAGATATTATAGCCAACATATGTTAAATCATTTTTTAATTTGCATTTTCTTGCTAGTGAGATTGAATATGTTTTCAAAGGTTTATTGCCCATTTTTAAAACAGCAGATGCAGCATGGCATTTTGATAACATCATAAGTCTATATGCATATGGCCTTATCTATGTCTCTCTGTGTGTACGTACATAAAGATGTAAGAAAGGATGTTCATCAGCTGTTAACAGTTGCCTATATCTGGGTGGGTGTGCTTTGGGGTGGTTTTTTCTTTTTTTAAAGTAAAGTCGTGATTTTAAAAAGTACAATTCTTTTTTATAACTAGCAAAAAATAAAGCCATTTTCGTTTTTAAAAAATTTTAAGTTCCAGGATATGTTTTATGCTTAGGACACATTTTCTGTAAGCATTTATGTTCATGAAAACACTAAGGTAAAATTTTGATATTGTGAGTGAAAATCACCAGGATGAAAAGTAATATTAGTAGGTTTTCATTCATTCAAGTCCAAACTTAAAAACCCCCACTGCATCACCATCTGGTTTTACCTGTTTTGGTAATGGTCACGCCTGTGTGCCATTGGTCTACAGAGACAAAAGGCCCAGCCCTGCCCTGAAGGTGCTTGTAGTCATTCAGGATCTCCCCACTGGGAGGCTCTAGGGTCCTGAGGACAGCAAATGGAAGGAGAGCTTACAATAACAGCAAAGGTATATTGAAGGCTCATATGTGCTGGGTCTTGTTCTAAGTCCTCATTACCACCCTCAGAAATAGGTCCCATTATTATCCCAATTTTACTAAAGAAGAATCTGAGGCACAGAGAGCCTCAGTAACTTGCCCAAGGTCACACAGTAGTAAACGGAGGAACCCCATTTAAAACCACTCACTAATAGTTCTACTCTCTGTTGGTTTTATCTTTTTAGCAGACACCAAATGAGGAATGTTTGTTCCTGGAAAGGCTGGAGGAAAACCATTACAACACCTACACGTCCAAGAAGCACGCAGAGAAGAACTGGTTCGTTGGTCTTAAGAAGAATGGAAGCTGCAAACGTGGTCCTCGGACTCACTATGGCCAGAAGGCAATCTTGTTTCTCCCCCTGCCAGTCTCCTCTGATTAAGGAAATCTGTTCTGAGTGCTGACGGCTCCAGAGGAGCCTGAAGGGGTCCTCACCTGGTTGACCCCAGATCGTTCCCTTGACCATTGGCTGCACTAACCCCCGGCCCACAGAGCCTGAATTTGTAAGCAATGCGCTTCTAAATGCCCAGTTCACTTCTTTGCTGAGCCCTTTACCGCAGCACAGTTTGGAACAGGGGTACCAAATTGCTTCTAGGGGCCAACTGGCTGGCCAGTCTGGGTCTGGTTTGGATGTCCATTGCCTCTGGGCACCTGCTGCAGGCTGAGCCTCTCAATGCAAAGGTGGGGCCAAATGAAGTGTGTTCAGGGGGCTGCCAAGTGGGTTATTAGTAACTGCATACAGTTCCCTCTTCTGAGTAAACCCTGTCTGCGATCCCCAAACATCTGGCATGACTCCCTTTTGTCCTTTCAATACCCCACAAATATTAGCAGAGAAGCTTATGGCTAGGTTAGAGGAAGGCAGCGTTCCATCACTACAAACAGGGATGAAGAAATCCCCCCTCAAGAACAGAAGGGATTAAAATGGCCAGGGGAGATAGGATTTTGGTGGACAGCTTAGAGGATGGATCTCAATGTGGAATAATTGAAGGATGAGTGGCTCAGCAACAGGAAAGCAGAATAAATGCACAGCCCTGAGAGCCCTTACCATGCCTTGACTTTCCCAAGGTTATTTGGCAGAAGGAAGTCCCTGAATATATCAGGTGGAGAGCATGAGAAGAGGGTTCTTGATAAAAGAAAGGATGTTGGACGTTGGTCAATTCATTTGGGTCCAGGGAGTGGGTGTGGGAGTGATGAGAAAGAGAGGCAAACTTGGGCTGAGGGGAATCATCCTCTAAGAGGATGATTCTAGAAGTGAGAAGGAAAGAGAAAGGGATGCCATGACTTGTGCTTGGCCACCAGAAAGCAGGGGCTTTGGGTTCCTCGGGCAGTGTTTACAGATCATACGGGGATCTTGTCTGAGTGTAGATTCTGGTTCAGTGGGTCTGGGGTGCAGTTTTTATATTTCTAACAAGCTCCCAGGTGCTGTAGATGCTGCTGCCCCCACTCCCATACTTTAAGTACCAAAGTCCTGGAGAACGTTATTCACATGAAGGTGGCTCACACCCCCGACCTCTTTCTTGCCTCACCCTTAAAAACCGCACACCCCACGAGTCTTCCTGAGCATTCAGGCGGCATCGGCAGTTATGCGTTAAGGAGCGTGGATTTAAGGCGCTTTGGCCTAATGCCTATAAAATGCCCATTTAGAAGATATACAAAAGCATACTTCAAAAATGTTAAACCCTCACAAACAGCTTTTCCCAAGAGACCATTTGTGTTACGATTACTTGTATAAATATGCTTCCTGCTTAAAGTAAACTTGACCCAAGTGGCTAGCAAATTAGAAATGCCATTCATCTCTGACATATGATACTGTTGCCATGTAAAGGCCTTTAATAAGCCATTTAAATTTACTGTGAGACTGTATGTTTTAATCACATTTATAAATATATAGCTCAAAGGCAGTTAAACTGTTTAGCATTCAGCCACTGAGAATTATAATAGGATACAATGTATAAGCTACTCAATTATCTACTACTTATACTACATTTACCTATAAAATGAGATTTTTCTTTGTTTTCCACTGTGCTGTTACAAATTTTTCTTTGAAAATGGGGACTCTTAAGCAATGATATGATAATTGTGGGTAAAAATTGATGAGAGTGTTAGCTCTTATTTTATAAGGAATTGAAGTAATTATTAATTGAAAAATAACTCCTTAGTAATTGAACTGTCATATTTAGAATGAAAGAAAAACAACAATTTGTGCAAGTTCAAAGCGCTGGTGCAATTGAAGAACTGAAGTAAGTTAAAACTATGGTTAGTAATATCATCCTGTGTTTGTACAGCAAAACAATTTCATAACTTTGTTTTTGTAACTTGGATAATTCTATTTCATTTTAGTAAATCTTTGCAGGCTAGTTGGGGATAGTGCAGTGTGGCTTCACATCTCTTTACTATGAAGATTTGGCCAGCAAAAGGTATCCAGAGAGGAAATCCAAGATATTTATAACGGTCCATAATTTTTAGCGTATGAATCAAATTCAAGTATAACATTGGCCAAGAAAAATTAAATCCTGTTGCTAACAGATGAGATGGAAGTCTGTGGTTTCAGAGACCCAAAACATTGTAGAAGAAACACTACTGTGACCTCGACAACCTCAGCCTAGTCATCCTTCATGTATTCATTCAATGAATAGTCATTAAGTGCCTACTGTGTGCCAGGCACTGTCCTAGGTACTGGGGCCCCTGGGAACCTTCTCTGTCTGGTTTGCTGCTGTATTCTCTCCCAGGGCATTATATTTATGATGAAAGATGCTGTGGATTCATTTCTTTCAGTCAAGTAAAAACAGACTTTGTAGGTTTCTGCTGAATAAACTGCAAGTCCCAGAAACCCAGGTTTGGGAAGAATTAGCAACCCCCAGCATAAGATAAACCCCCATCAAAATGTCAGCGGACAGAGGAAGGTAAACCTAATGTTTTCAACTGTAGAACCACGTGAGCTTCAGGGGGACCCCTTTCAAATCAGGAAAAGAGCCTGTCAGATCTTGGAAGAGGGAGTTCCCTGCTCTATTTTGAACATGCTCTGGTTCCTTAAACATGGAGCATTCCTATTGCTCTCTCTCTTCCTAGAGTAAGTCTTGTAGCCAACTGCCTGTCACATGCCTCTCGTGTGGATTCATTTTCAGGCCAACTGTTGAGTTGCCTGACATTCTAAACAAAGCATCAGGAGCATATATGCTTTTGATTGTTTTTGAGGTGGTGGTGGAGGTGGTGGTGATCTGTTTCCTTGGAAGGGATAATAAGTAAAGCCTCCTACGGCCAACAGTGTGTACTTACAAAAGCTGACTGCAGCATCATGTGTTCCTGAAGATCAAGGTCCTTGCTTTGTGTGGGAGGTGAAGTCCTCGCCTTGTAGAACATACAGCCCAAACCAGCCGAGCTCACGGGCTGCAAAGCGGACCTCTGATGAAGTAGACGCCTGTCATTTTACATCACTGGCTCTTTTTTTTGCACCTTATAAAGTATTAATAAATGTTCCACTAATAGGTGATAATGTCTCTGAGTTTCTGAGCATCATGGTGTCTCATCTTCCCATGGAAAGACTTCCTCTGGCACCCGAGGTGTGGCTGCTTTGTTTTCCTCACTTAGCTCATCATCAGATAGGCGATTTTACAGGCTGACAGGAAAAGCTAAGGTAGAAACATTTTTCATTTTGTTTGGAAACCTAAGGCAACATTGGTGCTTTTCTAGGGATCCATTAGGGAAATATAGTCAGGGAATTCGCCCCCTGAAGAGCCAAGCACCATAAATAACTCAGTTGACACTTTTTCTTCATAGTATAAATCCTGCGAAATTATGCTACCATTGTAGAGTTGGCCAGCTTGTGCTTATGCAAAGATACTGTGACCTGAAAAAAATATATAAGAACTTATTTACAATTTTAAGTCAATGGCGAGAGGTGCATCTCTTGCATCTCAAAAGCTTTGATATGAGGCTATACGTTCGCCCACCAGATTTTCAGAAATTATTATTATGCTAAGTAACGTCTCCTTAAATAAACTTCTGAATATAATGATTTCTGATTCTTAGGAGAAAGTACACTGTTGCCTAGACATCGTGGCAGAATCAGATCACACGCGCACACTCACACATGCACGTACACTACCTATAAAAAAAACAGTTGGGTAGTGTTTGCTCACTCTTCTAATTACATTCCACAATCAATCCCTCCTTTTCCTTTTAAAGTTGTCTAAAGCAGTATTTTCCTCCCTTTTGGAGCTTGGTCCACAATAAGAACTACATTTTCCATTACAACCCAGCACATACAACCCTTGTACACACACAACTGAAACAAAAATGTCACAAAACTATATATACGAGACACACTCAGATTTTTCTATTACATTCCACTAAAAAATGCTGGTCAAAGATCAATTAAATTGGGTCATGACATTAATAGGTCATGACCTATTAATACATATACAACCACAGTTTGAAAGCACTGGCTTAAAGCAGCTGCTCTCCTTCCCAAAGAGAACGAGACCCAATTGGGATCCTGTATTATAACTTTAGTGTTTTCAAAGACACGGTTTGTTCGTGAATAAACAAGACAAGGGGACATCCTGTTACCCAGGAACCATCTGTTCTGAGGGCCTGGTGAGTTCTTTTAGCTGGTTTGCTACTAATCATGCAAAATGAATGCAATGATGCAGATCCCCCGGACACCCACTGCTGCCTCCAACGCTGGTCTTAGCAGATTTCTGCTCTCAGAACCCTACAGACCTTGACAACCTCCCCTCCTACGGAATTCTCATCACTTTGGGCCTTGAGGTGATTCCCTCCCTAACTCCCACAGTCTTCACTTCATTCCTCTCTCTTGTCCCCAAATTCCTATTTCATAACCATTTCTAAACAAGACATGAAAAGTAGACTGAGGCAGGAAAGGCCTAGAAACTCAGAGCCTCTGAGCATCCTCCCCAGCCCCCATCACTTCCTGGAAATTGACCTCTTATTTACCTAAAAGACAAGAGTTCACCATTCATGACTCAGTCATAAGATAAATGCCATTGCTACTGGAATGCATTTTATTCAGGGATTTAAAAATTCCCATCTTTGCTGAACCAACTAAAAAAAGTTAACTCCACGCCCTAAATGTTTGAGGGGGTTAGGGTCGCTGAGAATTAGGCCTCTGATGGGTAAACTGGACGGCAAGGAGAAAACTATAAATGAAGTCATGGCTTTTCATATTGATGTCCTGTCTGCCACGGGGCAGGCTGAGGAGGGGGATCCCAACCCTAAGCACTTTGGGGTTGTTGTCGTATTAATAAGTATGGTACTAGTGACATATCAAACAATGATGTGCCTTCAACTGCACTTTCACAAATGAACAAAACCTATTTTGAGGGACAGTAGTGCAGTGTAGAAATCTTTAAGCCCAACCAAGCTGTGGGACTTGTATGTTCTCCATTTCAAAACTACCAGGGGTTTGTTTGACAACTGTTAAAATCGAAATGATGGCTTGTAAAAAGTGGCACATACCCTTCTTCCTACTCCACTCCCTAAATCTGCCCCCTAGAAAGAAACTCCCTTGTCATTGTACACAAAATTTACTCTAACATCCAGTCAGAAAACTCAGAGCTTGAGATGTGGGGATCTGGCATTGGGCACTCTGGATTCCAGTGATTCATCTAACATTCTCTCGACTTAGGGGAAAATGTACTAAATGACCATTGGTATCTGTCCGAAATATTGTACCCACTTTGCGGTTGACATATTGATCATGACATACTACACTGTGAGCTTTCCACCCTACTTATAAAATTAAAAAGAGAAACCAGGTCACACACAGCCTGAAGCTAGAGTGTGGGTTTGCTTTATAAAATGCATATATTGTAGGACCTAGTTTTGGGGTCTTCTGATGGGTCCGAGAATGTTTGTGATGTGGACAGGAGGTATTTCCCAAATTGCTTCCTTCCCTCCTAGCTTCCCACTGTCACACAGGCTAAATTTACACGTTCAGCAGCAACTAAACATTGGTGTCTATTTTATTACATAAACAAGCAAAACCTCACCACGTCCTTGATGTGCTTTTCTATTAGCCCTAATGAAAGGTTGGGCATTCCTTGTTTGGAACCGTATTCGATTTCAGGATTTGGTTCATTTGGCTGCAGTGTTTGGAGATGTAGATGTAGACAGGCAATTTGTGCAAACTGTCACAGAAACACGCATCATTGTGATTTTCATGTTTTCCTGCCTCAGGAGAAAATTTTTTTAGTCTGACCCAGAGATACATAAGAGCAAGATGTCAAATTATTTTACTGATACGCCTCAGCCCAAACTCTTTATTCTCCAAAATAGGTCATAAGAGTATTATTATATACTAACTTGTCTTGTGTAGCTTGGAAAAACAGAAGTGTTCATAGCCTGGGAACGTCAACTGTGTTGAGAGTTCAGTAACTTCCTGTAGAAATGAACAGTCAAATCTATGGTATCC